GATCGTAAAGCTATAAACCAGTCCTTCACTGTACATGAACAACATTCCAGAATCCAGAATAGCCATAAAACATACATCCCATTTAAAAACCACTTTTCATAACTTAAAATAGGAAATACATACAATCGAACAAAGCATATATTCGGATAGCTCAGTTTAATGCGAGTCGCCTGATATCTTACACCCCTACCCGAGAGCAGAAAGTGATATCTCTTTAACCGCCACAGGTAGATATGTCATATCTGATATCTAGACGTTCAGCAGATGATTCTGCATATTATCCTACCAGTGGATAGGATGCTCCATGTACCTATGGAAGATTATTGACCAGGGTATAAACGTGCGAGATATTTGATCATAGCAAAGTTCCCTGCCTAAACACCCTCCCCAAATTAGGCGATTGGTTCTCTGCTTTAAGGAGACACCCTGCTGGTGGACTAGAAAATAGGCTGCCAAGCCTGAGAGAGATAAGTTGAAGAATTCTCCCTTTTTAACATCAGGAATCAACTTGGGAAAACGGGACCCTTTTGTTCAGGACCTTGATCTGCTTAAACCAAGGCTGACGGCAAGTATTCTACCTCTCTAAACTTCTGTTATCTCTCTGTTGTGGTATTGCTCTCTGTATTTTATATATATATATATATATATATATATATATATATATATATATATATTGGCTACATCTTTTCCTGTAAATATTTTTATTGCACCATTTTGACCCTTTTTAGTAATAAATCCTATTTTCTGAAAAGTGTTGAACTGTTTCTAAAGCTCTTTAATGCAAACTAAGAAATCCTGAAGAGCGCTATTGTGTGTTTTAAACTTCTGCATACATCTGCCTGCGGTGACAGAGTGTATACAGATGCTTATTCAAACATCATAGTATTACTGCTAAGATTGGCGAGTTTCCTCCTTCTCCATACAAAAAGGCGGTGGTGGCAGTGTGAAGGGTTAATTGCGTAATTAACCTGACCCTGTAACAATCGCTCTCAGGCTGCGGTACATAGATTATGGTCCATTAGCTGGAAAATCTTTGTGCAGGGTGCAGCTGAGTGTGGTATTGTTAAGCACGTGGCAGCGTGGTTTTAGATTGGCTAGTCCTTCAGTCACGAGTTGGTGAGAAGGGCTGGGGGGTCTGACGCCACGTCCGTCACAATTATTATTATACAGGATTTATATAGCGCCAACAGTTTGCGCAGCGCTTTACAATATAAGGGAGACACTACAATTACAATACTTTCAGTACAGAAGGAATGTGAGGGCCCTGCTCGTGGAGCTTACAATCTAAAGGAAGGGGGAGATGATACAAAAGGTGATAGCTGCAGGGGATGATCTGGTGGAGGTGATTCAAGTACAGTTCTTAGGTGGAGGTGGGGTAGGCTTCCCTGAAGAAGTGAGTTTTCAAAGATCGCCTAAAGGAAGACAGGGTGGGGGCTGACCAGACATGCTGTGGTAGGGAGTTCCAGAAGATGGGAGAGGCTCTGGAGAAGTCCTGGAGGCGAGCGTGGGAGGAGGTGATGAGGGAGCTAGAGAGGAAGATATCATGGGAGGAGCGGAGTGGGCGATATCTGTGGATGAGGTTGGCGATGTAGCTAGGGGCAGTGTTGTGGATGGCTTTGTAAGCTGTGGTTAGTATTTTGAATTTTATACGTTGGGTTAGTGGAAGCCAGTGAAGGGATTGGCAGAGAGGGGCAGCAGTCGCTGATCGGTTGGTAAGGTGTATGAGTCTAGCAGCAGCATTCATAATAGACTGAAGGGGGGATAGCCTGTGTAACGGTAAACCAGTGAGGAGGGAGTTACAGTAATCGAGGCGGGATATAACCAAGGCATGGATAAGTTGTTTTGTGGTGTCATTGGTCAGGAAAGGGCAGATTTTGGAAATGCTCCAGAGGTTGAGGCGGCAGGAATTAGCCAGTGAGTGGATGTGGGGCCCAAAGGAGAGATAAGAGTCTAGGATTACACCTAGCACCCTGGCATGAGGGGAAGGACCGATGGTTGTGCTGTTGATCTTACAAATATATATTACAAGCTTAGTTTTTGAAAGATTGAGTTTAAGGTAGTGATGTGACATCCATGCTGATATGTCGCTTAGTAGATTTGTGATACGTGAGGAGATTGAGGGGGTGAGCTGGGGAGTGGGAGAGATAGATCTGGGTGTCATCAGCATAGAGGTGGTATTGGAAGCCAAGGGAGGTTATCAGTTGGCCCAGGGAGGAGGCATAGAGAGAGAAAAGGAGGAGCCCAAGAACAGAATCTTGGGGTACCCCAACAGAAAGGGGAAGAGGAGCAGAGGAGGAGGAGTTGTATGTGACACTGAAAGTGCACTGAAAAAGGTAAGAGGAGAACCAGGAGAGAGCAAAGTCACGGAGGCCGATGGAGTGGAGTTTACTGAGGAGGAACGGGTGGTCGACTGTGTCAAAGGCAGCGGAAAGGTCAAGGAGTATGAGTATGGAGTAATGGCCGTTGGTTTTAGCAGTTAGTAGGTCATTAGTGAGTTTTAGTAGGGCAGTTTCTGTGGAATGTTGTGGGCGGAAGACAGACTGTCGGGGATCAAGAAGGTTGTTGTCAATGAGGTAGCAGTTCACACGGTTGTGAACAAGGCACTCGAGAAGCTTGGAGGCAAACGGGAGCAGGGAGATGGGTGTTAAGTTATTCAAACAGGTGGGGTCCAGCGAGGGTTTTTTGAGGATGGGGGTAACCAGTGCATGTTTGAGTGCGGAGGGAAAGGTGCCCATGGAGAGTGAGAGGTTGAAGATGTGGGTTAGAGAGTTTAGGATAGAGCAGGAAGGAGGCTGCAACAGTCATGAGGGGACAGGATTCAGGGGACAGGTGGTGAAGTGGGCCTTGGAAAGGAGATTGGTAACTTCCTTGGTCGTAACAGGGTCGAAGGAGGAGAGTGTTGAGTTTGGTGTTGGGCCTGGTATGTTGGTTAGAGGAGGAAGCTTGACACTGGAGATCTCATCACGAATTGTGTCGATCTTCTTCTTGTAGTGACTGGCAATCTCCTGTGCAGTAAGTAAGTTGGTGGGTAGAGGCAGTGGGGGGTGGAGTAAGGAATTAAGGGTAGAGAAGAGTTGACGAGGATTGGATGAGAGGGTCTTGATGAGAGTGTTATAGTAGGTTTGCTTAGCAGCATGGAGGCTGGAGTTGTATTTGAGAAGAGCGGATTTGTAGAGGGTAAAGTCTTTCAGGGATTTAGTTTTTCGCCATGCTCACTCAAGAGTGAGGCTGTGTCTCTTGAGACTTCTGGTGTCATCTGTTTGCCAGGGTTGTGACAGGCGAGGCCTGTTTTGCGTGTAGAAAGAGGAACAAGAGCGTCCAGGGAGGATGATAGATAGTTGTTGTAGGCAGATGTGGCCAGCCCTGGCAGGACAGGGGGGGAATTTCGTCATAGAGGCGCTCAGTAGCGGAGTGAAGAAGGTCAGGGCTGAGGTGATGGAGGTTTCTACAGGTGACGGTTTGCTGGTTGGAGGCATGGGAGGTAGGAGGCAGGGAGAGTGTGAAGCTGATAAAGTTGTGATCAGAGAGAGGAAAGGGGTGTTAGAGAGGTTACAGGGAGTGCATAGGTGGGTACAGATATGGCTACAGATATCCCTGGATGTCAGAAGGTTTTTATTCTAGATTTTTACCTCCAGACTACTGTTGTGGTTGAGTTGCTGTTGTACCCAGTCACTTCCACTTTGTTATAATACCATTAACAGTTGACTATGGAATATTTAGTAGCAAGGAAATTTCACAGATGGACTTATTGCACAGGTGGCAACCTATCACAGTACCACGCTTGGAGTCACTGAGCTCCTGAGAGCGACCCATTCTTTCACAAATGTTTGTAGAAGCAGTCTGCATGCCTAGGTGCTTGATTTTATACACCTGTGGCCATGGAGGTGATTGCAACACCTGAATCCAATGATTTGGAGGGGTGCCCCAATACTTTTGGCAATATAGTGTGTATACATATAATGTTTGAAAGTTCTAGGTAATTCTCTAGCGAAAAAATGTGGCGATTTTTACATGTAGGAGAGAAACGTCAGACTAGGCTTGGGACTGAAGTGGTAAAAAGTAATGAATTGAAAAAACGTTGGGATGCAGATAAAATTCGAGAACAAGTGATGGTTATAGACGGTGACAATGGGAAGGTGACAAGCAAAGGTTACAGACGGTGACAAGTGATAAGGTTTATAGACGGTGACAAGTGATGGGTATAGACGGTGACAAGTGATGGGTATAGACGGTGACAAGTGATGGGTATAGACGGTGACAAGTGATGGGTATAGACGGTGACAATTGATGGGTATAGATGGTGACAAGCGAAGGTTACAGACGGTGACAAGCGAAGGTTACAGACGGTGACAAGTGATGGGTATAGACGGTGACAAGTGATGGGTATAGACGGTGACAAGTGATGGGTATAGATGGTGACAAGTGATGGGTATAGATGGTGACAAGTGATGGGTTAGACGGTGACAAGTGATGGGTATAGACGGTGACAAGCGATGGGTATAGATGGTGACAAGCGAAGGTTACAGACGGTGACAAGTGATGGATATAGATGGTGACAAGCGAAGGTTACAGACGGTGACAAGTGAAGGTTACAGACGGTGACAAGCGAAGGTTACAGACGGTGACAAGTGATGGGTATAGACGGTGACAAGTGAAGGTTACAGACGGTGACAAGCGATGGGTATAGATGGTGACAAGTGATGGGTATAGACGGTGAGAGGAGATACATCACCGGTGACACACCTGAGAAAACTGACCTCTGCCCCCGAGGACGAAGCTCCAGGGAGCGGACTGGGTCTCCTCACCTGTCTCTGGAGATAAGCAGAAGAGCGTAGAACACGTGTTCTGTACACAACATACAATCCACTTTCCTCACCAATACTACGCGGTTACCATGACAACCATGATACAGTGTAGCACTGAAATGCTTCCCCCCGCACCTTCCCATAGACGTTCCGCGCAATATTAGGGAGGCGCTGTACATGTATTTCCGGGAAGAAGGGGAAGCGGCGACACTGTGAAAGGTAAGTTTGGCCTGGCTGGAAGAGGGGGAGAGAAGGTACAGCTCTGACTTGACGTCTGTCATACTGTCACCATAGGCCGGGACATCCGCGGGCAGAGGTCACAGGAAGCTCACTAATGAGGGATGATGGCAGAGCTGTACTGGAGGGCGGGAATGGAGAAGAGGGAGGGCGGCAAATACACAGCATGTGAAGGTACAGGACTGGGGAGCTGTGCTCATAATATAGAGTAGGCTTCAGTTGGGTCACATCTGTGTTGTCTGCAACCCGAGGACATGTACCAAGGTACCGTCACAGGTTGGAGTCGCTCACACGCCAGGTGCCGTCGGGGGTCGCCCGCGCGCCAGGTGCCGTCGGGGGTCGCCCGCGCGCCAGGTGCCGTCGGGGGTCGCCCGCGCGCCAGGTGCCGTCGAGGGTCGCCCCGCGCCAGGTGCCGTCGGGGGTCGCCCGCGCCAGGTGCCGTCGCAGGTAGCTTGTGCCATTTACAATGGCAGGTCGCTTGTGCCAGGTACAGTCACTGGTTGGTTTCGCTTGCACCAGGTATAGCACCAGGTATAGCCACAAGACGCTTGCACCAGGTATAGCCATGGGTCGCTTGCGCCAGGTACAGTCACATGTTGGTGTCAGTTGCACCAGGTACTGTCGCGGGTCGCCAGGGTCACGGGTCGCTTGCGCCAGGTGCCGTCACGGGTCGCTTGCGCCAGGTGCCGTCACGGGTCGCTTGCGCGCACCACGGGTGCCGTCACGGGTCGCTTGCGCCAGGTGCCGTCACGGGTCGCTTGCGCCAGGTACAGCCACGGATTACGTGCGCCAGGTACAGTCACATGTTGGTGTCAGTTGCACCAGGTACAGGTCGCTTGTGCCAGGGACAGTCGCAGGTCGCTTGTGCCAGGGACAGTCACTGGTTGATTTTGCTTGTGCCAGGTACAGTCACTGGTTGGTTTCGCTTGCGCCAGGTGCCGTCACGGGTTGCTTGTGCCAGGTGCCATCACCGGTCGCTTGCACCAGGTACAGCCACAGGTTACTTGCGCCAGGTACAGCCACATGTGCCAGGTACAGTCGTAGGTTGCTTGTGCCAGGTACAGTCGCAGTTCGCTTGTGCCAGGTACAATCGCAGGTTGCTTGTGCCTTTTACAATGGCAAGTCGCTTGTGCCAGGTACAGTCACTGGTTGATTTAGCTTGTGTCAGGTACAGTCACTGGTTGGTTTCGCTTGCGCCAGGTGACGTCACGGGTCACTTGTGCAGGTACAGCCATGGGTCACTTGCGCCAGGTATAGTCACATGTTAGTGTCAGTTGTGCCAGGTACAGTCGCAGGTCGCTTGTGCCAGGTACAGTCGCAGGTCGCTTGTGCCAGGTACAGTCGCAGGTCGCTGTGTACAGCCAGGTCGCTTGTGCCAGGTACAGTCGCAGGTCGCTTGTGCCAGGTACAGTCGCAGGTCGCTTGTGCCAGATACCATCACAGGTTGGGGTCGCTTGTACCGGATACCATCACAGGTTGGGGTCAATTGCACCAGGTGCCGCCGCAGGTCAGTTGCGCCAGGTACCATCTCTGGATGGGTCATATTCACGAGTCACTCTCCTGTAACTTATGGGTTGATATTACGTATTCTAAGGGACACTTAGTCAGTTGTCATATTATTGCGTGTGTATATGTATTTATGTGTGTGTGTGTATGTATATATATATATATATATATATAATATATACAGTTTAGTGTGACGTTGAATGGAGCACACTTATGAGTTAGCTTTAGATACTAAGATTTGACTTGTTTCCTTTTTCAAGGTTTTGAGATGTCCCGTGTTCCTCTTGGAAAAGTCCTACTTAGAAATGTCATACGACATACAGATGCCCATAACAAGGTAACAATTTTTTCATATAAATTTAGCTATCATAATCGTCTCTAACTACCCCTAACTATACTGTCTAGATTATTTTATTTGGGGGACCTTTTTGTTAAAATAAATAGAATACACATGCCAGTCTATCATTTTGTTAACTTCATTCAAATTGGCAAAACTAATCAAAATCTGGTTGACTTGTTTAACTGCATTTTTGTAATAGTTGTTGCATTTTGCAAACTGTCTTAACCACTTGCCTACCGGGCACTTATACCCCCTTCCTGCCAGGCCAATTTTCAGCGCACTTTGAATGACAATTGCGTGGTCATGCAACACTGCACCCATATGACATTTTTATAATTGTTTTCACACAAATAGAGCTGTCTTTTGGTGGTATTTACTTGCCGCTGAGTGTTTTATTTGTTGCGCTATAAACAAAAAAAAGAGTAAAAATTCTGGAGGAAAAAAAGTTTTTCTTCATTTCTATTATAAAATTTTGCAAACAAGGAATTTTTCTCTTTTACTGATGTTTGTTGATTAGGCTGCACTGATGGGCACTGATAGGCGGCACTGATATACAGCAATGGTGGGCACTGATAGGCAGCACTGACTGGCGGCACTGCAGGCCCTGTTGATCGGTGCCAATCCATTTTATGACAATTGCTGGTTATTTCCTCTGTGAAAGCATGAGGAAAGTGCAGCCGATAACCGGCAACTGCATTTACCGGTGATCTGCTGTGTCATTAGACACGGCTGATCATGTGGTACGTGCCCCTGGGCCACAGTGAAGCCGTCATTCGGCTATCTGCAGTCAGCAAGTGGTTAAAGTAGGACTCCAGGTTAAATTTACTTGAAGTAGTTTGTTTGGGCCAAGCTGGCCCAATCAATCTATTTCCATTAAAGAAAGATGCATCCGCTCTGTGTACTGTAAGGCCCAGTGGGGGATCTGACTGCTGGTCCCCGCTGAGCAGGTGGATGACAGCCCGTTTTCCTCTATGAGTGGTCAGATGTAAATGGACTGTCTGTCCATTTACATGTGTAACTCCATAGAGGGCAATGGATGGTTTAATCGGGTCCACTTAAAAAAAAACAAAACAGAAAGGCGGACCTGATTGGTTTGCCCTTGTGAAAGGGACCTACTGTACTGGTAGCATTAACTATATACATAAGTAGCACTATGTTTTAGCAACAATGGTCGCGACTTCCTGTCTGCTGCTGGAATTAAAGAGAGTAAGGCTGAATGCTTCTCTGCCTTTAAGGAGAAGCCTTGTGTTTTCATCAGTGAATATAGGGCTTCCTCTGATTGGCCGAGGTGGAAATCATGACATCACCTGCCCACTGTTCTTCCTTTAGCCAATCAGAGAAGCCTTTTATTAATTTATAAAAGTACAAAACTTACTTCTCATGAATGGCAGAAAAGCACTCTGTCCAGCTCTCTTTAATTCTGGCAGCAAATGGGAAGTCACCCGTGTTGCTCTTGGAACACAGGAACATTTATAGAGAATCCCTTAGCATGACTCCTAGCTGCTACACTGCAGCATAACTTTTGCAGTTCTGTAGATTGGTTGACTCTTCAGCTGAGCTTTGGATGACCATACCTGGCCCCCAATAGGAAGCGGATGTGGTTTTAGCCTGTAATGTTGCTCCAGGTACTAGATCCTGCTTTTGGAGCAGCGTGTGAAGTTAGCCAGGGCTTGTGCATTCATTCCAATATCTGCTTCCTTGGGAGGATTGCAAGTTGTGGGGTGAGCCAGGACTTCCGCCCACCTGGGTGCCCAGTGCTTTTCCTTCCCTTTTGTTCACTAAGGAGCACTGTCATTCTTTGCAACCAATGGACAAGGGACATTGGGAATTGATTTCAATTTGGATTTGGCAATATTTCAGTGATCTGGGCTAAGGCCCCAGACCCCTTGGTTGCCTGCATACCCTACTTTCCTTTCGGGTGTAGTGTCCATGCTCATGCAGTTTCTCTGTCCCCATGAATGGCTGGCTAGAACTCTGTTGTCTGCCTGTGTGCATAGAACTCGCAGCACAATGATCCCTATATGCTCTGGACCCATAGTAACTGTTAACAGAAGTTGCACCCTTCCTGCTCTGCAGTTTAAGATTGTGAGTACCCATTTCAGGATATCCCTCACTACATATAGCGGATCTTAGGTTCTGTGGGCTTACATACCTAATATGAAGGCGTTGAGGGCAAACGTACCTTTTTGCCACAGAAAAAGAAGTCTAAACCTGTTCCAACTACACCAGTGTTTTTGCCTTCAGTACCATCAAGGGACAAATCTTGGCCTTAGTGGTTCTAAATCCGAGGCTGCTTATTTCTCCATCCAATTTGAGACGGCCTTTGTGCAGGGTGTCACTCATATTGTCCCTCCTGTATGCTCACCAGTGACTCTGCATCTCAACCTGGTTTATTTTGGCTCTTCAGAGGCCTCCCTTTGACCCCATTAGGATTATTCCTCTGTCATCCTTACTTGCAAGGTTGCCTTTCTCATTACCATCACTTCTGTGAGGTGTGTTTTTATGAGTTGGAAGCCTTGGCCTGTAATGAACCTTTATCTTTGCTACAAAGTTGTTTTGAGGCCTTTGGCCTTTTTACTTGCTATGGTGATTCCTTTTTTACCCCTTTTTAAAGTGGTTGTAAACCCCTACATCTATCCAGTTAAGTGACTGGCTTCAGAGATATAGAGATTAAAAAAACTCCTCCTATATAAGTTGTACCTGCTTATCTGCAGTATTCTCTTCTCTACCTTCTTCAAAATGTTGAATTCATAAAGCTTATCTGAGAGTTTAGGAAAAAAAAGGGGGACAGCTGAAATTACACACTGTAGAGAACAGTGAGGAGAGTTCTGAGTGCTGATTGGAGGGTGGAGACAGACCCCCTGCACACAGCACACAAGAACAGAGCTGAGCCTGTCAGTGTGCTGAAGATCCCTCCCCTGTTATTTTTCTCTTGGTGTCAGGAAAACTTGTCAGAAGGGAATCATGCAGATATCAGAGGAATGAAGCACCATACAGAAATAACACCAGGGATGTGCACATTTTTTAAAAAACTACTTGTCCTGGGACTAAATCAGTGTCCCAATCTACTTGTCCCTCATGACACTCTACTTGTCCTGATAAAAATTTTTTTTTTTAACCAAAACCGTATTTAAATCTGCTTTAAGTAATGTCTGGGGCTTTTAAAAACAAAAGGGGCTTTATGGCGACTTTTGAACATTGCGCTGTTTATCTCCTCCTCCCCTCCCTGCCTTTCTCCAGCACCGTACCAGGGGACTAGCAGGAAGGAGAGAGACCTTGCAGTGTGATGAGCACCGATTGGGTGATCGTCAGAAAAGGGGAGTGTTGGGCTTATCCTTTATGCATTTTGATGCCAGAGCTGTTTTTGTGTGTTTTGCACACGTTTAAAAAATAATTTGAGGCCTGAAGATGGCACAAAACCCACAACATTATATATTTTCTGAAATCAGAGATCCTAGAGAATAAAATAGTGGTAGTTTTAATTTTTTTATGTCACACGATATCACACAAGTCTAGGAAACGCAAAATTTCTTTAAAAAAAACACTTGTTAATTTGTCAAACCTTAAACTTGCATGCGCTCGTGATATGGCAACAAACTTTAGTAGCCTATATTTTCTATAGGTGATTCTTTTAAAGCCCCTTATAGGTCATCAGTTTAGCGTTGAAGAGGAGGTCTGGTGCTAGAATTATTGACCTGAAATCACTGGAGTATCATGGGCCGACCACTCTCTTGTCCGGCAATTCCTCAAGGGGGCTGTAAGGTTGAGGTCCCAGAGAAAACTGAGGTTCCCTAAATGGGATCTCCCGCTTGTCCTCGACTTCTCTGGAGTCGTCCTGGAACCAGCTGGTTCACCCATAGTGAGGGAACTCTCCATCAAGGAGGCCTTTCTGGTGACACTTACATCGGTAAAAAGGGTTAGAAATCGGGAACCTTGGCTGAAAAGAATTGTTTTTGACATTCTTCCGGGATCGAGTGGTCCTCATCCTTATGCTAGGTTCTAATTCTAAAGTTACCTCCGGTCTTCCACGAAAACCAGGAGGTTGTCCTGCCAATGTTTAGAGCCTCAGGAGACAATGATGTTCACACCCTGGACGTAGGTGAGACCTTAAAGCTGTACTTGCAGGTCACAACATCCTTCCCTAGGTCAGGCCATCTATTCATCCTGTTCCATGGGAAGAGTAAGGGAGACCGGGCTTCTCCCAGGTCAATCACAGTCTGGATTGTCCAGGCCATCCAAGTGGCCTAGAGAGCTAAGGGCTTGGCGCCTTCGGAGGCAGTGACCGCACACTTGACCAATAGTGTGGCTATGTCCTGGGCGGCTTCCTGGAATATCGCCCCTGAGATGATCTGCAGAGTGGCCTCATGGTTCTCAATCAACACTTTTATGGCTCATTAATGTGTAGAGCCTTCTTCCTTATCCTCTGTTAATTTTGGTTTGAAAGTCCTGTTGGTTGATGGGGCATGTTAAAGTCTTTTGAGTAACTGCCCACCCGTGTGTGTATGGCTTGTTATTTCCCATACGTATGCTGCTATTGAGTCTGTCAGGAAAATGGAAAATTTCCTATCAAATACTTACTGTAATTTTCCTTTCCTGATGGACTCCATGGCAGGAGGAGTCCCCTCCCAATGCTATGAGTAGGCTAGTTATGGAACACAGCCTCTGGTGAGGAGTGAGATTTATGGGAGTGGGATCTTATAGGAGAGGAAAAGGCAGGACTAACCCATTCCTTTTGCTGCCATGGAGTTGATCAGGAAAGGAAAATTATGATAAGTAGCTGATAGGAAATTTTCCATTTTCACATCCGTTTTTGGTTTAAAAAGAAAAAAAAAAGCAGAACTAAAACGCATGACCATTAAGTCCTATGGAACTCTTCACACTGGTCAGTTGTGGGTCCTGTTTGCTCCATTTGTGGTGCGGTACAAAAACCACACCAAAAACACACCTCCCCATTGGAATGAATGGAAAACGTGGAAAAAAGCACCTGCAGTTGTGTTTTTTTTTTCACAGGTGCAAAACGCACCGTAAACGCAATTATAAGCATGCCAAAAAGCGCATATGCATTTTTGAAAGGGAGCAGTGTGAAAGTAGCCTTAGTGAATTGAACCCTCCTTCAAGAGTTGGTTCTGGCCAGCTCAGTGGATTTCTTTAAGAATGGCCTGGTATCTTTCTTGGATACACAGAATATAACTGGTTACTAACATTTATATGTAAAGTTGATCCAGGGAATATCCGATTGCCCCTCGGGGGATCAGGAAAGAATTTTTTTCCCCTGCAGGAGCCAATTGGTTCATACTTTGCTGGATTATAACTTTTATTTTTTTTTAACTGGATGGATTTTTGTCTCTTTTCAGCCAGACCCCTTGGCTACAACTCCTTTGCATAAGTTTGACTCTCTGTTTATCGTTCCTGAAGGCCCCTGCAAGAGTGAGCCAGCTTCTTGTTCCACTATTGTGAGGTAGATTCAATAACTCATCATTGAGGCTTATGACCCTAGGGTAAAGAGCCCCCCTTTTCCTATTGATGCTCGCTTTACTAGATCTGCTAGTGCAGTTTAGGATTTTTTGCATCAGGCTTCTTTTCCTAATAACTGAAAAGCTCACACTTTTTTTTAGTTTTGCTAGGTGGACATCCAGGCCTCAGTGAATGCCAGCCTTAGTCATAATGTGCCTTGGGTGTCCCTGCAGAGGTTTTTTTCCAGTGTAACAAAAGCCACAGCAAGTAAAAAATATAAATGTATTTATCGATATGGCAGAGTATAAGCTAACATGGGTGAATGAATAAAAGAGTCCACTTTTGTTGAGAAAGCTATAATCCCCTTTGGGTGATCTATGTACATTGCAAGTGTGCCGAAAGCGGTGACCGACCCTACCCTTCTCACCAACTTATGACAATGGACCTGCCAATCTCACACTGCGCTGTCACTTGCCTAACAATGCCACTCCCAGCTGCACTCTGCACAAAGATTTTCCAGCTCGCAGGACCACAATCTAGGTGCCAGCAGCCTGAGCGATTGTCACTGGGTTAGGTAATTAAGCAATTCACTTTTTAAACTGCCACCACCGCCTTTTTGCCAATTAGGAGAAAAACTCACAATCTTGGCAATAACACTATGATTTTAACTTAAACATATGCAACACACACTGTCATCACAGACAGGTGTATTCAGAGGATTATTATATATAGTAGTACTCTTCAAGAGACAGGGATTCTTCAGTTTGATTTAAAATACTTAGAGATAGTTTTAACACTTTCCAAAACAGGATTTATTAATGAAAAGGTCAAATGGTATGGGTATGTATGAATGTGTAAGTTAGGGACTTTAGATTGTACGCCCCTTGAGGGTTAGGGACTGATGTGAATGTACAATATATATGTAAAAGTGCTGCGTAAATTGGCGCTATATAAGTACCTGTAATAAATAAAATAAAATGGTGCAATTAAAATATTTACAGAAAAGGATGTTACAAAGACATAGTGAGAACAATAACACAACAGAGAAATTAAAGGAGGGGAAAATGGTGAATACTTGCAAAGTCCTGGTTTTAGCAGAGTCCAGTTGTTCAAGCAAAAATGTTGCCGTGGCTCTCTTGGTTGTTTCTTGGTTGATGTTAAATGAGAGCTCGCTTACCAGGTCCTGTCATCCCCTTTTCTGTGATATCAAAGGGGTGTCGCCAGAGACCATCTGACCAATAATCCGGTTTAAGGGATGGGTGCTGGGAGGCCACCACATTTACAACAAATTCCCGAATACAGTTTTACTCTAATATTAATAACTTCCAATACTGGTGGTGGTTGTATTCTAGAAACTGACAGAATATTATTCAGAATTATTTTTCACATCCAGGGATACCAAACACTGCTTACCTTTGTCACCCAGGAGGCAGGAGACTGCTTTCTTTCCTTTCGTATGTGCTAGGGTAGTCATGTATGACCTTAATTTATTCAGTATGATATTCCCCATTCAAATATATACCTAATATTAATGTGTCCTGTTTCTGTTGGATTTTAGGAATTGTGTGTGAAATTGTTAAGTTGTGGAATAGACATTTTATGGCATGCTTTAATGGCCTTACAGGTCATGTGTGACAGGCTTGACTGAGTTATTATGGTTTTACGATAGGGCAAAGGGAAGAGTTTTTCATGGTTCGTGAAAACAGACATCTTGCCAAGACTAATTGGCTATTCATAGCTGGTATCAAGGCCTGTACCCTGGCGTGTGTTTTAGTGCAGATAAGAGGCTGTTTTGAGGTGTGTTACAAGTTACAGCTTCAAATTCCATAGCTTGCAGGAGGAGGGAGGGAGATCATTGCACATGAAAAACAAAATGGCTGAGACCTTAACAAGATGGCTGTCGCCTACAGCTTCCATGTCCCTATTGCGCACAATCATTTCAGCAAGGATTTTGACAAACTATGCTGCAGAGTCCTACCTGTTTCTGTTGTGAAGGAATAGCTCTTTGTTCGATCACATCTTGTGCAGGACTGGTTCTGAATGGGCGTGACTTTATTTTTGATCAGCTGATGTACGTGCAGTGCAGGAGAGTGGCAGGGTCTGCATTCTTTTAGAAGTGATGAATCCCTTGTGAGCATCTTGCTAAAACTGTAATTTTTGTTGGAGTGGATGCCTAAAATCTGACTTGTATCTTAGTAGAGACTTCTGGTAAAATCAGTGAGCCAATCGCACAAGCAGGAATTTACATCTCTGGGGGGCATTATGTACACAGTTGCATTGCACACACATTGCATTGAACTTTACAGAAAATCGCAGGGCTACAGTTTGAAAAGGAAACCTAATTTTAATTAGGAAAGAATCACCCCCCCCCCCCCTTTAAAAGAATCACATTTCATTGCTTTGCAGCCTGAATTGAAGACTGGCGCAGTTTCTGTTTTATCCAGCTGTATTTTACTCAATGCAAATTCTAACATCCAAGTGAAAGATATAAAGCTAACAATATTTTTTTCCGCAAAAGTGGAGTTACCCTTTAAATATAATGTGTTGAACAACATAAAAAGGCATTTGGTTATTCTACGTGATGATATTGAGATGAGACCTAGAGAAGGACAGAGTACTTCTAAACAAAGTATTCATGGAGTGGGGCACTTTTCCCTTTCACTTTTAACAGATCCAAGAAGAAACAGAAATGTGGAAAATCCGAGAAATGGAAAAGCAGACTGAGGCACACAGAACAAAGAAGAGAAGAGTATCACCAGATCTAAACAGGTCAGCAGTAGTCCAGGAGACTGCAGCTTCACTATGAAAGTAGTTCCCAGAATAAGACTTGTATTGACAGCTGCTGCACGAGATTACAGATGATTATTCCTATGTGCAATGCACACTAATGCGTTTAATCTTGGCTAAACTCACCAGAATAAGACATGCAGCATTTGTGTACATTTTAGCAATAAGCAGTAGCATACTACACCTGTGTACACTTTACAGAATATCTTCAAAATGGCCCACAGTTGCTTCATTTTATGGCATTCTCTGGTTGATGCTAGTCCTTCAATACATCTAGTTTCTTCTGATAAACAGTATGGTTCCCATTCTGGTAAAATAGGACATATGGTTTGTTTTTGTTTTTTAATGATTTACTATACACAAAAAAGACATACAAGATTTACAAGTTTAGCCTGCTGTGTAATAATAATGTCCATTACTGTTCTATTACAGATGGGATCATAATGGCTACAAAGAACTCTATCCAGAGGAGTTCGCTGATAACAGGTAGTGTGTTCGTGCTGATTGTAGGACAATAGCTGTGCCCAGTTCTGGCCTAGTGACTATAAGTTGTTTTTTATTTCAGAAGTGGATCCAGCTTTGTTATACACTGTATGTACAGGACTTTGGAGTTAGAGCTTTAGTTAAAGTGTATGTAAGCCCTAACCACAAAATTCTTTTATTTGCTCCCCTTTGGTCTATACCAGTGTACAGTTAAAATAGTTTTGTTATCTTTTCTTTTTTAAGTGCAAATAAATGCCTGTGGATCCTGCCAGAATTTTAATGCGTTTGGAAGTTTCTGTGCTCTCTGCAGTGTTAACAGCCCTGCCCATTTCCCTGTAGCTTTTTGAACTACAGAACTTCCCACTATCTAATGGTGATCAGATCCAGGGGAGCTGTTTTGTAATCCTAACACGCCTCCTGTCCTAGGATTTGACATTGCTCCTCTTTACATAGAGTACAGTTGTCATCCTAGGACTGGATGCGTGTCACTGACAGGGTCACCAGGTACAAATAAAGGAAAAAAGGTTTAGATGCTCCTTAAAGTGGTTGTAAACCCTCTCATATACCCAGTGAAGTGAATAGCCTCAGATGATGCACAGATTATCTGGAACAGATGAAACAAATCTTCCTACATACTTTTTACTTGTTTATCTGTGCTCTTGTTTTTTTCTACATCCCTTCAAAAATGCTTAATTTAGATAAAATCCTTCTGCATCTGTGAGTAGCACAGAGGAGGAGGTGAGGAGCTGTAGTTAGAGCTCTTGCGCAGTGTGCGAAAGCCGATTGGAGAAAAAAAGACACCCCCTCCCCTTCACACAGGGAACAGGAGCTAAGGAAGGATGCACAGCTGTGTTGTGAATAGACAAGCTGTGTGCTGAGTTCTCCTCCCCTGCCACCATTTTATCTCTGGTGTCCAGATAACTTGTCAAAAGTGACACATGCTGATAATAGAGGATGAAACACCAGAGAGAAAAGACACTCTGAGCTTTGGAGGAAGACAAGTAAACACTACAGATACAGCTTATGTGCTTTGCTTCAGATTTCATGACTGAGCTTTACAGCCACTTTAAAATCGATCTGAACCCTAATTGGTAGGCATTTCGTTTGCTAAAGTATTGTGAATACTTTTTGAATATCTTTTGAATCTAAGTGCTCCTCATCTTTTCCGGTCTCTTTGCAGCCACTTTCTATCTACATGCACTTACTCCAGCTGTGGCTGTATTTCATTGTTCAGGGGGTGGGCTTCCTGATGATGACAACAGCAGAACATGCCAGAGCAATGAGTGCCAGCATGGCTGCAAATTGTCTCCACCAGAAGCTCATGTGACAGGATGACAACACACAAACCCAATTCAGGTAAAGGAACAGAGGGCTGTCACCCTATATTAGATCCTGAGCAAAGACCTTTATAGCACGATCACTGTGTCATTTTAGTTGGAATCTCTTAAAAATTACAGAGTTTTGTAAATGTGTTTACATCTACTTTAAAGCCTGAAGAATGCTATGGCGTTGTAAGATATCAGTTGTAAAAAACGTGATCTAGCTCTCAATCAATAATGGTTCTGGCTCTTTTTTTTTTTTAATCTTTTTTTTGTTTTTGATATATAGTGATATACACAGCAGGTAAAATAAGTACTGAACACGTCACTATTTTTCTAGGTAAATATATTTCTAAAGGTGCTATTGACATAAACTTTTCACCACATGTTGGTAACAACCCATTCAATCCATACATACAAGAAACTGAAACAAATACGTTCAGAAATTAAGTTGTGTAATAAAATGGAATGACACAGGGAAAACGTATTGAACACGCTAAGTGAAATTTATTTGTTGGTAATCAGAGCTTCAAGATGCCTACTGTATGGAGAAACTAGTCGCATGCATTGCTCAGGTGTGATTTTGGCCCATTCTTCCACACAAACAATCTTCAAATCTTGAAGGTTCTGTGGGCCTCTTGTATGAACTCTTGATTTTTAGTGTTTTTAATAGATTTTCTGTTGGATTCAATTCAGGTAATTGGCTGTGCCATTCTTGCAGCATTATTTTTTTTTTTTCTTTGAAACCAATTGAGAGTTGTCTTGGCTTTGTGTTTTGAGTTCATTGTCTTGCTGAAATGTCCACCCTCATTTTATCTTCATCATCCGGGTAGATGGCAGGAATTTATCAAGAAGAATGTCTTGGTACATGTTTCCATTCATCCTTCCTTCAGTGATATGAAGTTTTCCAGTACCATATGCTGAAAAGCATCCCCACACCATGATGTTCCCACCTCCAAACTTCACTGTTGGTATGGTGTTTTTGGGATGATGTGCAGTGCTATTTGACCTCCAAACATGGTGTGTTTTATGGCACCCAAAGAGTTAGATTTTGGTCTCATCTGACCAGACCGTATCAATAATTAATATTTATCAATAGCTGACCAATCACATGCCACTTAGCCTGAACTGTCATCCCTGCACTGAGAGGAGAGAAAGCCGAGGGGTTATCAAATCCCCAGACCTCTCCTTGCAGGGTGCAGGGATGACACTCAGCCTCAGTGTTCCAGCCCCCCCTTTCACGAGGTGAATACAAGGAGGGGAGGATGCAGCCTCCTGTGCTGTTCGCTGTGACAGCATGGGTCTGGTGCTATGACGAGCATTGGGGAAACCGCATGCGATTTGGTCATGAATCGCACTGTATTCCTGTTCAAATCGCATACTGTTCTTTGTGGTGCAATTTGTGTCCATTAACGAAATCATACTGAAAAGTATCAGTTTCAGGTACCGGGAGCATTTTCACGAGTACTCGTACAAAATTACTCGATATGGGCACAAATACCAATACCTGTATCGGTCTTGAGAGAGCTCTTTGCTGTTACCCATCATGAGATTCTTGTTTTGACACCTTGATAATGAGACACCTTTTTAAAGGCCATCAGTTGAGATTGAACCAGCTGATATTAATGTGCACTGATAAGGGGCAGGATTGCTTTCTAATTACTGATAGATTTCAGCTGGTGTCTTGGTTTTTTCATGCCTTTTTGCACCTCCCTTTCTTCATGTGTTCAATACTCTTTCCCTCTGTCATTCCATTTTATTACACATCACTTAATTTCAGAACGTATTTGTTTTTGGTTTCTTTGTATGTATGGATTGCATGGGTTGTTACTGACGTGGCAAAAATTTCATTTCAATAACACCTTTTTTTAAATACATTTACAGAGATAAATGGTGACATGTTCAGTACTTATTTTACCTGCATTATAGTGATCATATAGTGAATTTTTATTTTAATCTGAATATTTAGTATTTTCATATCCAACCAACATCGGGAGCACAAGACCTCTTCTCAGATTTGTGTGTATTAGGTGCTAGGTTTAAAGGATAAGTCCACCTATGGGAACATGTTACAGGTTCCACCCATTTGTAGGGTGGAACATGTAACATGTTCCTGATCCTGCAGTCACCTTTCTGAGCGCCGTGATAGTTCATTGATTTTTCCTGTCAAACGTATTGGTTTGCTCGTACGGGTTGTATGAGCAAACAGATACATTGACAGTCTGCAGGAGACCTGCATGGCAGCAGCGATTCGATGATCACTGGTGCAATGCTTTAAAGACTCCTAACCCAAAAAATAACTGCACAATTTTTTTTTACCTGCAAAAAAATGTGCATTTTTTATTTTTGGTGGAAAGGCGAACTTATCCTTTAACCACTTCCCGTCCGGCCGGGTGTATATAAACGGCCGGACGGTGGCAGTGCAGGGGAGGTTGGCCCTTTATAAACGGCCTCCCCGCCCCCTGCTTGTTTGCGCTCCCTGGAAGCGCGCAGCACCACCGATCGTTGTACAGGGCCTCTGTGCGAGCTCCCGATCATGTGATCACTGATTGGCCAATCAGTGATCACATGAAGAGCAGTAAGCAAGATGTCACTTATGACATCATTGCTTACTATGTATGAAATCTGTGAATGATCACAGAGGTCACATGGTGCAAGGCTATTCAGAACAGCCTTGTACCATGTGACAAGCTGTGACCAATCACAGCTCACACAGTATTTCTCAATGGCTGCAAGAATGCAGCCAGAGAGAAGGAGAAATTATTGCTTTTACAGCCTTTATGGGTGCAAAAGCAATCGGTGTAAAAAAAAAAAAATCTTTATAACCCCCCACAAGAAGTACAGTGTCACCATGGTGACGCTGTACTGCTAGGGTGACAGTATGGAAAAAAAAATTAATATTTTAAATTATAATGTTTGGTTATAAACTAATTTTGGGTTATTTTTTTTTTACTAAAAAAGATAACTGAATAAATTTTGGCCAAGATTTATGAAGAAATATTATTTATTTGCAAAATTGTATAAGAAAAACACTTTTTTAAAAAAAATTTTGGACTTTTTCATTTATATAACAAAATAAAATTAAAATCCCAATGGTGAATAAATAGCACCAAAATAAAGCTGTATCTGTTTAAAAAAAATGCTAAATTCATATGGGTACAGTGTTGCATGACCGCGCTATTGTCATTCAAAGTGTGATCGCACTGAAAGCTGAAAATTGGCCTGGACAGGAAGGGGGTAAAAGTGTCCGAACTTGAAGTGGTTAAAGAGCTCAGTAGTTTAAGCACCAATTTACACGAATGAGTAAAAAGAATGACTCCTCGCTGTTCTTTATGTGCCCTGTTCACACTACCATACTAGTATCACGTGTAGATTTTTTTGCACAGGAAACTGCAGTATGTATGAAACTCATTGCAGTGCACATGAAAACTGATGTAAATTGATGTCTCTGCAAGTGAATTTACATGCGAATATGGTGTGAACAAACCATAAATGTGAACATCTACTTTTCTTTTGCTTTTAAAATCCCATAATGTTAATGTTCTCTGTTGCAGGTGCCCCCAAATGTTTATTTGTAAAACAAAGGTTATTTTTCATATAGTAAAAAAAAATTAAAAGCAGGACATCGGGTACATATACACTTAAAGTGTGTGTGTTTGTTCTTGTTCTAAATTAATCTTTCATGGGCTCCTTTTTTTTTTTTTTTTTTTCTTTTTTCTTTTTTTTTTTGGGTTAGAAGTCGTATGAGGTCAGATGGGTTTGATGCTGATGGGAATCGGGACCCTGTGAAAGGTGGAGCTGCAGCAGCAGTTACTCTAAGACAAGATGCTCTGAGTGTGCGGGCCTGGAACAAGAAGTATTATGAGTGCGAGGCTAGCATTCCTGACAGGTATGAAGTTTGGCTGTGGAAATATCTGTGTATGTAGCCGCATCATGCTGTTTTAATTCAATACTAAACATAAGAGAAGAAATCCTCCATATTGATTGAATATAGAAAATTGTGATATGATAGATACATACTATAATCTTAGTTTCCTGCTCTTTCCTTATGTCAGCATGCCAATAGGTTAGCTGTGCCTCCTGACCTCACAGGACTTCCCTTCAGTAGCCAAAAAAAGTTGAAAACGGCCTACTTCCCCTTGTCTTCTCATGTGGATATACTCTGTGTTTCTTTCTATATGGAGAATTTCATCTTATGTTTATCCATATACGTGGCCTCCTCATGTCTGCATACTTATGGGATATGACTAGCAATACAAATGGGGGGAGGATAAGATGTTGGATAAAGGTGTTTGCTTATCTTCAACTTGTTCCTTTGCAAATCTCATGAATAGTGCTCTTGGAAAAAAGATTTCTATGAGGCCGCTATACTTCTTCTTGAGTGTGCTATTAAACTGGATGGAAAGGTTAAGCCCATGGAAGCATATGCTGTCTGTATGGTAATCCTATGTTTTACCGCTCCCTGCTTTATTGGGCCCGATGGCAAAATAAATCGGGATTCTTTTTTTTATTTCCACCCTCTGTAAATAAACTTGCAGTCAATTTTTTAAATGCAACCTGGTCCTCCTATGTTCTTCCAGGGAAGAGCTTTGTGGGAGTAGGGCTGGTAATTTAGCTGAAACTCCCAACATGGCCACAATAAAGTACCCTGGAGCTGGTTTTTGAATAATATTCTTGTCAAAGAAAGAACAGTACAGCTCTTTAGAAGAAATCATGCCCAGTTTCGAAAATCTCCTGTTGATTTTTAACTGTAATTAAATTTAAATACTACAACATATAGAAGTCTGATGATGAAGTGCAAAGGCTGTGTTTAAAAAAAAATTCTGCCACCAGCATGCAACGCTGAGGGTTATTATTAGGGTTGCTGACACCCATTTCTGGGGCCCAATTTAGGATTCACTGGAATTAATGTTGTGGTTAGGATTGCAGTCATTGACACCATTGCTTTGGATTATTATTACATCCGCTGACATCAATGCTGGGGATTATTAGTGTGGTCACTCACACCAACGCTGGAGCCTAATTTTGCAGGCACTGACAACAATGCTGTGGTTGGGACTGTGGTAGCTGACACCAGTGATGAAGGATAATATTGCGTTTGCTGACACCGATGGTGGGGATTACATTTGCGGTCGCTGCCACTAGTCATGAGGTTTATTATTGCTGTCATTGACATCAATACTGGAGGTTATTGTGGTCACTGATGCCAAAGCTGGAGTTTTTATTGCTCCTTCCAACATTGACACCAATACTGGCCCTAACGTTATTTTAATGTTTATATTTAAAGCACTGAGCAAACTGTTTGCGCTATATAAATCCTGTATAATAATATAATTATGTGCATTACGATATGTTGCAAAAAATGCAGCAGAACCAAAATTTTCAGAAGTTGTGTTGAAGAGTGTTGGAACCCATTTATTTTGGATGGGCTTCCTAACTCCATGCATTTCTCATTGCACAACCAGAGGGTTTGTTTTTCTTTTCCAAAATCAAAAAACTTCCTCCTGAAACTATAAGATATTTTAGTAGTTCGCTTCCAAAACTTGAGAAGCATGATACTGACAGGGGTTGAAAGCCTCTGACTCCTTAATTGGCTCTGTTCAATATCCAAGCTGTTGAATTCAGCCTGCTCTGAATGAAGGAATCAGCCTTACAACAGTTACATATTTACTTAGTAACCTTACAACAGGAGGTCCCTCTTCAAATTCAATGGACTCTGAGACTCCACCAGCCGTTGACAAGAATGCTGGCCTGCTGAAATTGTTTGTTTAGACATCATAAAATGTGGTTTCTTCATGTAAGCATTTTAGACATCTCAAATTCAATACAAGGTGCACCTTTCCTGATGACTTTTTTTTTTACTAAAAAAGATGGGTGAATCAACACCTTGCTTCTTTTCTGAAACCATTTGAATACCATCTGCCTCCCTCAATTCTTCTATATACAAGTCTAGTTATCTTGGAATTTTGCTGAACTCGAGATGATACCCACCTCTTATACCATCCTTCACCTGAACAAAGCAAGCCTTTCACCCTCCAGAGGGATCAGGGTGTGGGCAAACCTTCAGAAGGACTTTTCAGTTGTGTTCATGGACTGATTACTTTGGCATTCTTCCTCTGAAGAATGACTTATGTACTCTTCCAGCTCTTTAAAATATAAGCGACAAAGAAACTTTAAATGCATCACTTGTTTGCTTTATGCCCCACATATGCTCACCAGATAACACGGGGAAGGTGATTGATGATGCTTTGTCAAACCTGCACCACTGCTCTCCCTTGAAAACCTGACTGTATAGAAAATTAATGTCTTGCCAGACTACTTGAGCACTTCTTCAAAAATTTCCTTTCACAAAGGTGACATTGGGCTCCTTCTACTGGAAAAAACATACCAGTATAGGGATGAATAAAGATTTTTTTGTTTTGTTTTTGTTTTCTGTGACATTATGACATTGTCCCCCTGTCCACAGACTTTGATGCTTCCAGGGATGGCTGACTTATGGCGACAGAATGAAAAGTAACAGTGCCTCCTAGGGTAGGTAAAAAAAGAAACATAAAAGTATAACCTAATAGAAGACTATAAAAAGCGATCAGAGGAATCCTAGAACAAGTCATAACTCATAAGGTAAGCAAAAGACACAATCGCCCAGAGAAGACCCAATTACATAGTATCCTAAGTATAAGAAACAGCAGCAGAAGCCTTTCCTATCTTATCCAAAAGACCAGCCAAAAGATGGGAAATGGATATCTGGAATAAATTCAAAAACAGAAGGAGAGGAATTAATTTGCTCCTCCTCTCATGCCACCTCCCAAAACTCCTTGCCCAGCAACCACCTGCACACCTCCAGCCTTAAAGCAATCCAGCAGCCTGTAGTCATGGCAACTGCTGGGAAATGACAGCAGTCACCAGACCCCAAAAACTGGAAGTGTGCCAGAAATGTCAGGAAGGGAAGGAAGTGAAAAAAAAGGTAAGGCAAAAAAAAGCCACTACTATGAGTAACCTCTTACCAATCCCTTACCTGCTATTATGGTCAGGCCTCAAGTCAAGACTCAGCACATAGTCATCACTCTTCATCATTAAAGGAGTTTACTCTTAACAGCCAAGTTACCCACTCAGGAGAGCCAAATCTGGAAGGTGAGAAAAAAAGGCAGGGAGAATTTTCCGGTTCAGTGAAATCCTGAGCTAAACGGAGAAGGGTAGGATGTTTTCAAAGATTAACAAGGGAAATACAGAAGCACCTCTAAGCGTAGACTGTTAGGTTTTATTGTAAAAAAATGTGTCAAAAGCAACTCACATTATGTAGAAAAGTAGGCACATTAGAAGTCCATCTCCGGTAAGACAGGATCGGTCTCTCATGCTGTGTCCGTGTTATGTGCCACTTGAGCAACCGTTCATCTCTGTCCTAGGAGCCAGCAGGGTATGGAAGGAAATCCAGAAGGAGGGCTGGAGCACGACGTCAGGCATGATGGCATCACTGGGCATATCGTTTAAACAATTTATAAACTAATGTAGGGTTGTCCTGAAGGGTCAAGAGGCAGAACTGACCCATTCGTATGATGACATGAGGAGGCCAGGAAAAAGACTAAGTAGTCCATCAAGTCTCCCTATTTTATTTTTTGGGGGAAATGTTTGTCTAAGGATAGAGCTATGTTTAAATTAATTTACTATGGACTGACTCACTACCTCTGCTGGAAGTCTGTTTCAAGCATCCACTCACATTTCTGATATTGCCTTTAAGGTGCTGCACTGCTAGTTGAGTCATGCCCACACATTTGTGAACTTTGCTTCAAATTTTAAAATGCTGCCTTCTTGAATCTTATTCACACCTTTCATTTATTTACTTACTTGCGTCCACCCATAGCTAAACAGATGCTATGGGTGGACACGTCACGTCGCTTTTTTTTTTTTTTTTTTTCCGTAAAAACAATACCTGTTGAATTATTCAGAAATTGTTCGACAAATTTTAGACGCAGCTTTTAGCAGATTGGTGAATTTTTGCCGTTTTTAATTCTGAGACACTGTGACTCTCTAAGATGCTCTTTTTATAACCAGTTATGTTACTGACCTGTTTCCAGTTAACCCTAATTAGTTGCAAAATGTTCTTCCAGCTCTATCTTGTTTGTACTACTTACTCTGCCAGCTTTGTGTTGCCCTGTTTCAACTTTTTTACTGCCGTCAATTTCAAAATTACCTTATTTCTTTGTTACATCACAGGACACAGGCTATATTCATTACTATCTGGGTTATGCACCACCTATAGGTGAATGGACACTGGCAGACCAAACAGGAAGTCCCCCTCTATATAACCCCTTCCATACAGGAAGTACCTCCCATATTTTGTTTTTTTTCTCCCAGTGTCTGAAGGTGATGGTCACAGATATTAAGCTGTCTGTGTAAACACTGCTGGTTCCAAATTGTTTCTTTCCGGAATCAAGTGGCTGATTGATCAGATCCGTTTGGATGGCTGCGCCCATGAATGATGAATGGCACCAGAACCTCCTATGGAAGAACTCAACAAGATTTTGCCTGTGACATGACCTTTTTTTGTGCTGGACCCTGCAACACAGAACCCTGGGCATGTTCTAATGACCAAGGTGTTTCTGGCAGGGTGCTGTACGGGTGCAAGGTAGTGGACCCCAGGAGTTAAGGGGGACCCAGTCCTTGAAGGTCCTCAGGTGGCATGGCTCACCGTGATGTGTGAAGATTGGGTCTCTTGTCATTGACAGAACCCTGTGGCAGGATTGGCAATTGGAGACCCCTTGGTTTTCTCAAAAGAGTAAAATGCGAATAAGAGATGTATTTTTAAATTCTTGGAAGGGCTGGCTCTATACTGTTTTATAATATATACGTTCTCAAGCACTGATCTTTTCTATGCAATCACAGCAGTAACAC